AATGAACTGTGTAAGTCAAGTTGGTTAATTTTATTAAGTGTATTCTAACCTAACCACTCTGTAATTCGGCACACTACAGGTCCCAATGATGCCGGATTTGTGATGGAGGACCTGTAATAGAATATTATGTGTAGGTGGGGTGGCCTGGTATGTTAGCCCGGCTGACTACCATACATACCACACTTGATTTCTTACAATAAATGCTACTTGTCACACCCTAGATTAAGACTATAAATATTTTAAGGAAAGTAATGAGAGCACTATGTGTGTATTGTACTTTTTTATTGTTTTTTTGATGCCTAGTTCTATTGCTAACTTAATATATGTTGGTGTAAACTTGTTATCTAGTACATGTATTTGTATGCATTTATAAAGGGAAAAAAAGGGTGTTCCACTTTACGGCGGTAGCCTGGAACCTAACCTGCCATATAAGTGGGACCCTATTGTATTACTAAATTTAAAAAGAAACTTTCGTTTTTCCTTTTGGGCCACCCTGCCTTAGTGGGATATGGCCGATTTGTTGAAAGGAGTAAAATAAGATGACCAAGAGAGAATACACTTTAATGTAGGTGAAAGTGTAGGGGGTACCACATAAAGAGTTGGAAGAAGCATTTTTAAAGGGACTCAAGCATCCAGAAGACAATGTAAGCATGTTAAATCACAGTGGATAAAAAAATTTTCTGAGGAAAAAAAGGGATCAAACATGCTGTTGGAAGGTGAGCAAAGAAATAACTATGAGGAGATTCAAGGAAAACATAAAAACTGAAATCTTGCACGAAATACTGGGTGGGGCTGTTATAATTCTCTGGCTTATTTGAATTTGCTATGTCCATTTGCTTCTGGAAAAACAACAAGGGAATGAATGATGGAATAGTGAATGTAGAGTACTCTCCTTCTTTGGGTCACCCAGCCATGGTGGGAAATAGGTGAATAAAAGAAAAAAAAAAAAAAACTGGTGCACAAGACCCAAGATGACTGCTCAATATAAGTGTCACAATGCTTAATTTGAACCAGCTAATATACTGATTTACTTATTTTTTTATTATTTTTATTATCACACTGGCCGATTCCCACCAAGGCAAGGTGGCCCGAAAAAGAAAAACTTTCACCATCATTCACTCCATCACTGTCTTGCCAGAAGGGTGCTTTACACTACAGTTTTTAAACTGCAACATTAACACCCCTCCTTCAGAGTGCAGGCACTGTACTTCCCATCTCCAGGACTCAAGTCCGGCCTGCCGGTTTCCCTGAACCCCTTCATAAATGTTACTTTGCTCACACTCCAACAGCACATCAAGTATTAAAAACCATTCGTCTCCATTCACTCCTATCAAACACGCTCACGCACGCCTGCTGGAAGTCCAAGCCCCACACACACAAAACCTCCTTTACCCCCTCCCTCCAACCTTTCCTAGGCCGACCCCTACCCCGCCTTCCTTCCACTACAGACTGATACACTCTTGAAGTCATTCTGTTTCGCTCCATTCTCTCTACATGTCCGAACCACCTCAACAACCCTTCCTCAGCCCTCTGGACAACAGTTTTGGTAATCCCAAAACTGTTGTCCAGAGGGCTGAGGAAGGGTTGTTGAGGTGGTTTACTAGTACCATTAATATGAAACTTCTGAATTATTAACCTCATGATCAAGTAATCTTATTTTCTTTTCTGCCAAAAAATATGAATAACCAGAATGATTGCCAAGAGATTAATGCTCTTAACAAAGAATACACAGTAGAAACTGAAAAAGATCTACTACGGTATTTTTTTTTTATCGAGAGGTTGAATTTAGTTTGTTTGGCAATATGACTAAGCTTCTACTGTAAATTACTATCTAAATACAAGTACCGTATACTTTAATTTGAAAATACTGTAATAAATGTTCACAACTAAGAACTTATCTGCTATGGATGTTGTTCACACCATCAAAAATTGCCCTTAAGATGTTAGTAACTTAGCATCAGTGATTTATATGCTTAGAAAAATTGCACTTTGTCAGGTCTAAGGGGATGGGCTCAAGGAAAGCAGTTGAAATTAATGACATAAAACCACTAACCTGGGGAATCTTGGTGTATAATGGGTAGGGGGAGGGACTAGGACGGTACTCACTATATTACACCTACGATTTCTAGAAAGGCACACTCTAGGGTTTTAGTTGCGAGGCCTACTCCATAATCTTTGATTATTAGTTAATTAAGAGAAATATAAATACCTAAGATTACCAAGTAATTAACTGGACTCAATTAGCTATGAAGTTTTAGTACTAATTACACAAATCATAACATGAAATACGATGCAAGTTTGTTCTTGTCAAATTTGTTATAATGGTATTACAGAATATGCAATATACAATTTTTTTAATAATTACTAATTTACAATCAGCATGATTAAATAAATGTATAATTACTTAGTAGAGTAAGATATTATATTTTATCTCTTGACACTATAAACAATTTATCAACAGAGCAAGATATTTTTAAGACAAAATGACAAACGTCTAAAGATATGTGCTGCTGCAACTCGTCTGGATGCTGAAGCTATCATGATGAAAGTATAGTTTAGTACAATCTCTGCAAAGAACTATTTTACAAAGAATGTTTCGTCTTTTTTATAAAAAAATATTTACTAAAAGAGACAAATATTATTTACACTGTCTTTAAGGTTTGCCATTTTACACATGAAAATTCCTGTCATTTATCCAATTCATGAATTACAATACTAAGTATACAGAATGCCTAATCATTCATTACGCTTATAATTCTCATTTCCAAACTTCAGCTCCATAGAAAATATTCCCATTTTCAATGAGTTCTACACTTCCCAACTCCCTGACGACTTATGGTAATTAATTATTCCCGTTCATTGGAATCTTGGTAACACAACCCAATTCAACTATCATAAAATGAATTGTTTCATAGCTCCCAAAACTACTTTTCTCATCTCTCAATCTGCTACAATTGTACTAAATAATTTGCCATTAAATATAACACAATATGTGCTCACAGGGTAATCCTTATCTAAAGAATGGTCCTGTGGCTTCATTATATCAAAACAATAGCACTGCTTAAAAAAAAACAAAAATGCCTACAGATGTACTGACACAAACACAATTACACACTTGACTCTCCTAATACGTATTCAGATCTACAATTTTCTTTTTTAATTCTGCCCTTTCTCACCAAGGCAGTGTGAATCAAAGAACGAAGCATATTTACCATCTCTATCTGTCCAATATCAACCCACTTCTACAGATATTACTATGCTCATACTTGCCTACCGGTGTTCATGCCCTCCTTCCAACACTTCCTCGAATATCATCTACAATTTTACTGTGCTTTCATTCACCTCATTTTTTATGCACAATCTTAATCAATCTTTCTTCCATTATTCTTTCTGCACTATTAAAGCATGTCAAAAATACTCTCCTCCTCTTTCTTTCAGTTACACTCCCAGATTACTTGTTGTACCACCAGTCTTCATTTTTTCTTTCTTAGTCCTTATAAAATATTCATGCTACACAGTGATCTTGGACAGGACATGTCATCCACCTGTCACCCTGCTCAATGAAGCACATGAAGACCATGCTTAACACATACAGAAATATCACCACCATTATGCAGAATAGCCCTTTGATGCAATGCCTATTTACACATCCACCAACAAACTTCTTCCCTCCCACAGACACTAAGCTTAATATGCCTGCAACTTCTGTTTCTCATTTACTCTTTACCTCATCCTTCATAGACCATCTACTGATAAATTGACTCATAAGTACCTGTATATTACCCGAGTATATTACTTTCTCCCCACTCCTTCCATCCTGATCTTTAATCATTCATTTTGTTTCCTAATAGAGTATATAAGTATTTCTTAAGACTTAAGTCAACAAGTAAGACCTACTACATGGGCTTCATGCCTAAGACTCCAAACTGTTAAGAGTCTGCTTTGAGGCTGATAATGCTTCAGGCATGTTACTTAACTTTTGACAATGACTGCATTACTGTTTTTTTTATGTCATATTACCAGTCTCTAACCAAAGCAGGGCTACCATTAACTCTCATTCACTCCCTTTTAAAAATCTCAACCCTCTTGTTCACACTTATTATTTGTAAGTAAAATATTTACTCCTTACATATTAATGTTAATCCGAATATTAGCTACACAGAAAAACAAATGGAATACCCACTCATCACAGTCTGGATATTAGCTGCTATTTTAAGCCTAAAATTACAAAGGCTGCAATCCTCTTTCAGTCAATCAAGCCACAGATATCTCACCTGTTTCACTGTTAACTTTCACAATTATCTTTCAGGATCTGATTATTTTCCTTCAAGAAAGTGTAATTGGTCTAGTGAAATTAAAGCCTTAATCATGAGGTACTTAAGCCCAGATATTTACTCCAGTGAATCAACTACAGTATAATAATAGAGTCAAGTAGATAATATTTGGGTCTGACATCTTGTAAAAATGTTCTGATTTTCTCCATTAGGAAACCATAATACCCTCAATTGAAATTATAATTACCAACATATTAAAAGGAAAAAATTAATTGGCTAGTCTTCAAAATGTTAATGAGTATTAAACCTAATCTAACTTAATCACAAAAACAATTTGCTGCACTTAGCTGCAGGGACCTTGTCATAAATTTCACTATATTTACTACAGTGAGTAAAATTATGTCTTAATTTTTTCAAAAATCATTTAAGACTCTCACTACAAATGTCATCTTTTAGAATTTGATTTTCATTCTTACCATATCCTGGAACTCATAAAACCTACTTTTTTTATGATCTCTCTTCATTCTATTCAAATTGAGGCAACTCAAACTATCATGAACATAGCTGAAAATTCCTATTACAAGTCCACTTCAATTACCATAATTTCCATAAGGAAAATAAAAACCAGCCTCACTACCTAACAATAATTCCTGACATTATTTTATCATATTCTAAAGTAGATTATCTAAACACATATTAGGAATATAGCACCTAAAAAAAACTTACGTGTGGGGCCTGGTGTTGGGGTTGGACCCATCATGGCTACTTGCCGGTAATTGGTTGGCAGAGACATCCTGAGGCCAGGCTGAAAAAGCGTGTTTCACTTTACAAATGAATCATGACTTTTTATCCACACTCAATTTAAGCATAAAACCTAACACAGGAAGATCACACACAAACCAATGTGAATAACAAAGTAATATTTGATAGCCAATGAGTAAAATTAAATGTTTCTTTAAAAAACAAATTACAGTGCTGTACTACATTAAATAAAATTTTAGAAAGGAATGCCATCTCAACACATATTATCCTTTATGTGAAGCCCTAACCAATGTGGGTAAATCAGTATAACGAGTGGTGGAGGCTCCTCCATCCTCTAACAAGACACACTACCCAAGTGTACATAATTTTTGTTTTTTTGAAGAGGTTTGAAATGATAGTACAGAACCAGAAAATTTGGTAAAACAAAAACACAATCTTCAGTATATAATGTTTCAGTCAAGAGTGAGTTTTATTACTTTGAAAAGCTCACACCTAAAAAAGCCTAAAAAAAAACTTGCCATATTAAATGTTTTGGGTTTACTGTAACAAGTTGTTGATTAATATGTATTTTGGATAAATAATTTCTGTACTCTATAGTGTACAGTATACTCTTTTGAGATAAAATATGTACAACAAGAAACTGTATATTTAATGACAGTGGCACCTTAAAATAAAGGACACATTTGGCAAATTGTATTTGTACCAAGAATTTTCATACTCGCAGCTTAGCATGTGACCAGACTTCTAAATTTGGTACAGCCTCTCCTTACCTAATGACGGGGTTCTGTTCCTAAGAGTAGGTCAGTAAACAAAATGGTCGTTAAGCAGAAAGCATTTTATAATGGTAGTGGGTTTGTGTCAACCATCTTCAGAAATTTTTTAATGTCACCTTTGTACCATTTATAACATTTTTAGTATATTTTTAAATGTTATACAGTAGTGTACTGTATACTGTAATAAACAGAATAGAGGAAATCAGCTGTAATATACACTGCTTAGGTTTGCATTACTGGTTGGAGAGCTGGTCGTAAGTCCAAGTAGTCGGTAAACAAGTACATTGCTAAGTAAGGAGAGGCTGTATATGATAAAGCTGATACTGCCCACAAACCTATACAGCCTTTAACACCTAGCTGATCTGGCACTTTCTGCAGGCAATGGTCAAGCTTTCTTCTGAAGACTACTAAATGTGTTGTTTCACTGGGTTTCTCTACAATGACTCCAAGAAGAATAAAAAGGCACAATACCATGACTGGAACAAGACAAATAACTCGTACATAGGAGACTGAAACTTATGATAATGTTTCAGTCCAACTTGGACTGGAACATCATCGTAAGTTTCAGTTTTTTATGAGAGGGTTATTTGTGTAATGACTCCGAGATTTCTCACCCCAGTAATGAGTTACAATATACAAAGTACCAGATTAAGAGAACTAAATTCTAACATGTGAAATTAATTTAGAACTGAAGAATGACAAATACATGTAGTGTAGTTAATAGTGAAGTTTTAACCAAAATGGACAGAAAACACTGGAAGTGCTCTGAAGATTAACACCGTATTAAATTCAAGGGGAAGCACTAAACCCATAAGGTCTTACAACACGTGGGAAATGAGAGGTAAGGAGATCTGATCCAGGACGGCAGCTCCAATTTCTCAGATCAGTAGCCTTTCGCCAACATCAAGGCACTCCCTCCCCTGAAGGGTGTACTGTGATGAATATCATAGATGATTTAATAGAAACAAATGAAGGTCAGCATAATATCTGCCAAAACTCCACATTTAGTGAAAAGTTAAAGCCAAAAAGTTGAGTCAGTCTATAAAAATGAAGGCTTCATCTATAAGCTAGTTAGAGACCAGCTCTCAAAAAGTAAATATACCAAGAGATTAATGGCATATGTCATAAGCATTCACAATTTCCATAATAAGACAGAAACTGCATGAATGACAGTGAAAGCATTTCCTCTTCTTTGGGTTACCTTACCTCAGTAGGAGCATCTCAAGATAACTACAGTAAACCTTAGGGTGTCCCGTAGCTCAATCACTGAGGTCCGGAGTTCGAATCCCGAGTACGGCTGAATAACATTAAGACATGTTTCCACAAGACACCTGCTGCTCATGTTCACCCATCAGTATAAAACGGGTACATAGGTGTTAGTCGACTGGTGTTGGTCACATCCTGGGACAAAACTGACCTAATTTGCTTGAAATGTTCTTCACAACAAGCACCTTTCTATATAGTAGTCCAGTGGTACCTTGACTTACAAATTTAATTCATTCCATGACCAAGCTCATAACTCAATTTGCTCATATATCAAATAAATTTTCCTCATTGAAATTAACTGAAATACCATTAATCTATTCAAGCCCCCAAAAAACCACCCCAGGGGCAGGAGAAAATACTTCAATACATATAACGCTAATGTCAACTCTATGGCTTATCTATTAGAATTGACCTAATATGACATAATAAACACTAAGTAACACAGAAACATGATATATACTTTAGAATGAATAAAATAGGCCATAATATGGCGAGTGTCCAGGACCAGTCCGAGCATATAAAATTACTATTACTGCTCCTTCCTATAACGTGTTTTGGTCCTGGGTAAGAGAAAACAGAGTTTTTGAGTGGCTAACTGCACTAGATCACTAGTGCAGTGATATATAAATATCTTGGAAGTAAGTTATAGACTCATTTCATGAAGCCCACCATTGATTACTGAAGTAAATGCAATAATATTGACAGGAATCATAAAAAAGTGATTGTTCTACAATTGGCTTGTGGAATATTGGAAATACAGTATATTCCAAATATTTTGGGATTTGTGTGGGAGTAAACGGCAAGATATTTTGCAAATGTCAAAAACTTAGCAACTTTATTTTTTTGTAGAATAACTAAAGATAATTACATGATTACCTCCAGTGAGAACATCGCACTAGCATTGTTTTATAAGTACTAAGTCCCAAAACCACCTTTCGTTGCGCCATTTAGGACGGGGTTCTTGCCAAATGTTATTTTCAGTAAATATTTTTTTCAGTTAATATTTTTTTTTTTGCTCATAACTTGGATTGTAGCTCACAACTCAAAGCAAAAGATGGACCGAGCAATGGCTTGTAACTCAGAAAACTCATAGTTGGGGCACTCGTAAGTCAAGGTACCACTGTGTGTCATTGATGTCAGCTAGGCCTGTATACCTTGTACATGTACTTGTAGAAATAAAAACATTATTACAGTATTATTATTATTATTATTATTATTATTATTATTATTATTATACAGTAGACAGTCGTTTAACACGGTAGTTACATTCCTGAAAACGCTGTCTCAAACAAATTGAAGAACTTATGGGAAAAATAGGGTTATGTTCCTGGGAGCCCCCCAAAAAGCCCAACAACCTTTTTTTAGACCTCCAGAACTTACAAAATAAAAGTGAATATGTAATTGTTGTGCATTGTTGTGATATATTACTGCTTAAGACTACAAATGCAACAGAAATAGTAGTATTTACCTTAAATTGTGGGTAATGGTTTTTGACGATGATTGTGAAGAGAGTGGATAGGGATGGTGTGGCCTTATTGGGCTGAGGTGGATGGTTGTTGGTTGTCAGCAGAAGTGGATGGTAGAGGTTCTGGTACTGAAGTCGATGGTTGTATTGGAGTGTGCATAAATTCTGTAATGGAACTCCGGGCTCTTTTACCCTGCAGTACATTATACAGCTTACGGTAAGGCATCATCAGCTGGTCTAGACCCCGTTTCAAAGCACTGCTTCTAGACTCATGAAATCGTAATGACTCCTGTTTTCTTAATCATCATCATCATCTTCTAAGAGCTCATTCACATCTTCATTCATATCTTCAAGACCATCACCTGGTAATCTCCTTACCAGCTGAACAATTTCTTGAACCTGACTCTCAAGCAAGGAAAAACCAGTGAAAGAATTAACTACAGAAAGCCATAACTTTCCCCAGTCTGCATTTAATGTTGATTGGGACACTTCTTTCCATGCACTTCTAACATAGCTGATGGCATCTGCTTGGAGTCCAGAGTCCATTGATGCAATTAGTTTTTTCATAACTTTTTTGTGTAGTTACACTTTAATGACTTAATAACTCCTCGATCCAGTGGTTGTATTAGAGATGTATTTGGAGGTAAAAATACAACTTTTACATGTGGGATCACATCCAGCAATGCTTGTGGATGAGTACAGGAATTATCAAGAATGAAGAGAGCCTTGAATACAAGGTTCTTGCTGTGCAGGTAAAACTTGACTTCAGAAATAAAGCTGATGCTTAAATCATCCAATAAATATTTCCTCTGTCATCCATGCTGACTGGTTTGACCTCCAAATTACTGGTAAGGTATTTTTATTACACATTTCAAGCACAAGGATTCTTAGAGTGGTAAATAACCATGGATTTACACTTGAAATCACCTGCCGCATTACCACAAAGGAGCAAGGTGAAGCGATCCTTTGCTGTCTTGAAGCCTGACTGATATAAGATCGTGTTGACATTTTTTTCCCAAAAAACTTGTTTCACCAGCATTAAACACTTGATGATGAGGGTAGTGTGGGTGGGTGTGAGTGGCTTAGGGGGGGGCCAGGAGATGGTGATAGATCTCCCCCGTTGACACAATGGTGTAACTCACTTACCTACAGACCACCCTGCCCAGAGGGCGACCGCATGCTCAAAATTTTGTCCCCTCACACAACTGTGTTAAACTAATTTTATGAAGTGTTAAACAAAAATATGCTGCAATTCTTCGATTGTGCTATAACAAAAAGGTGTAAGACAAAATAGTGTTAAACGACGGTCTACTGTATTATTATTATTATACATAACTGGCTACTGGGGGGTAGGAGTGGCTGTTAATGACAATCATAGTAGACAAGGAAGAGATTGTTTTCCTAAGCCAGTTACAATAATTAACAATTATACATAGCATGAAAACTAACAAAAGCATAATACGTATAAATTTAAAATTTACATGTATTTACACAGGTATACATGCTAAAGAGTACATTTAAGAAGCTAAAACTGTTTTT